CAAAATCCACTTAACAAATGCCTCACTTAACAACATAAATTTTGGGTTCAACTGTGGTTGTTGTAAGTCGAGAATTACCTATAACCAATCCAAAACTGATTTTGGTTTTCCAGCTACACATTACTTCAATAGCTCAGTCATTTTCCAATCAACTAAGATTCCTGGTTCTTTATTTAGTTACTTCCAGCTGAATTCTCAGCCAAAAACAAAAATGTCTCTTATCATTCCAAGTTCATAGCCTTCTACTTGGCAGGACTTCATTTCATTCCATTTCTATTACTCTGATTCCAGTTCTTCCTGTGCAACTTCCTGGTCCTTCTTCTGTACTCATAATACCTTCCAAATTAGTGTTATCTATTTCAAGACTCAGACTTCCTTTCTAAAACAAATACTTCAACATTATTAAATTAAAACAAGCTTGATCAATTAGTGCTTCCTTCCAACTCAATGTTTCTGTTTAATACAATGCTTTATCAACATAATTGTAACTTAATGACTTGAAGTATTCCTACTGCTATACAACTTGTTAATTTTAAATATTATTTTGTTTTGTGGTTTTGTTCTGTATATATTCTTTTATTACAATCCAAATCTCTTTGAGCAGTCTCTCAAAAGACTGCTGCATTATATTTCCTTCTACATTTTAGTATCTGCATACGATAACCAAAATATGTATATTTTATTTGAACTCTGGTACAAAGTAATTGATTTTCAGATAACAGATAAGTCATGCTATGCATTTGAATCTACTTATTTGTCAAAGGTTTTCAATATATATATACAGAGAGAAGACATAAGGGTCAGTGGTGGGATTCAAATTGTTTTACCACCGGTTTGGTGGGTGTGGCTTGATGGGCATGGCTTGGTGGGTGTGCTTTGCCTAATGCCGGTGTGTAGCTTTCCCCATACCAACTGAGACCTGCAGCACCAATCAGCTGAGAGGATAAAGAAAAGCGCAGGGGTGGGTGGGAGGACTGATCCTGTGCTTTTCTCTTCTTTTTCCTCTCAGCTGAGGAGGATTTTTTTTCCTCCTCTCAGCTGATCCTCAGCTTTTTTTTTTTTTACTACCAGTCTGAACCAGTAGCATACCATCACTGATAAGGGTGCTCTACTCTTCAAAATATAGACAACCAATTACATTTCCAAATCTGCACTTCTCTTTATATATAAAGCATAGTGGAAAAAACAACATTCTGAGTCTCTAAAAGCTGCAGAAAACATGAACAGTAAAGGCATGATATTATTTAAATGGGTGGTCAAAATATCTGACAGAACTTACACTGTGAGATGTTAAAAAGTAAGCTTCAAGGAGGCCTACAGATTCATCCCTCATTTCCCCTACAACCAGGAAGTAATCACCCAATAATTTTGAAGCAATTAATACTCTAATCCATATTCAGATGTCTATTTTAGAACTAATGAAAAAGTGTGATTGTTGTCTTAACATCTTCCCAGAGCTTTAAAATACATTTTTCTTCCTTATTTTTTTAACACCCCCGCCCCATGGGATGAAGTATATCTATCAATATTTTGTTCCTGAATTTCAGCAGAATATCTGGAAGGCACAAAATAGTTGTGACCTCTGGCTCTTGAGTCAAGGCAATGGAAATTGTAGTCATAAGTTATCTTACCAGGAAGTTAATGTGATTGCTTCTTTATAAAGGTTTGCCCTGCAAGTACATGTGATCTATTGGTGAACTATGAACACACACACACACACACTTTAATCCAGTGGTAATCACACTGGTCCCTATCACCCACTAGTGGAGTTCCAGCTTTCATGGTGGGCAGTAGGGATTTTGTCCCCTACTTTATAAATCACCATTACTGTGGAACCAGCGTGCGGTTAGAGAAAGGTTTACTACTAACAGAGATACAAAAATGGGCAGTAGGTATAAAAAGATTGACTACCCCTGCTCTAATCTATATTCAGATGTCTATTTTAGAACTAATGAAAAATCAATAAATCCACCAACACTGAAAGCCTGGATTCAAGTGAAAACCATGGAAGAGATTCCATTAGACCAATTTAAAATTTCAAACTAGAATACATTTAAAGGTTCACCACATTGTAAAAAAGAAGTTGAGACTCTAGAAAAAGCAGAGAAGAGCAACCAGGATGATTAGGGGACTGGAGGCTAAAACATACAACGAACGGTTGCAGGAACTGGGCTTGGCGAGTCTAGTAAAAAGAAGGACCAGGGGAGACATGATAGCGGTCTTCCAATATTTGAGAGGCTGCCACAGGGAGGAAGCGGTCAAGCGATTTTCTAAAGCTCCTGTAGGCCAGACAAGGAATAATGGATGGAAACTGAACAAGGAGAGATTTAACCTGGAAATAAGGAGAAACTTTCTAACAGTGAGATCAATCAACCAATGGAACAGCTTGCCCTCGGAAGTTGTGGGAGCACCATCAGTTGAGACTTTCAAGAAGAGATTGGACTGCCATTTGTCAGAAATGGTGTAGGGTCTCCTGCTTGGGTGGGGGGTTGGACTAGATGACCTACAAGGTACCTTCCAACTCTGATTATCTGTTATTTGTGACAATGCAGACATTCACTACCTTTTGCAAAGCTGAAGACTTCTTTTCCTTATCAGATAACTTCACCTCTATAGTTATACTCAGTGAACTGTAAAATCATCTATGTTGGACACACTACTTTGAAAACATGATTTAAAACGTTGACTTGCCTAAAACATGCATTTCCTTTCCAAATATCACCAGTAAGAAAGTTTTAAATTTGGAAATAAGCTTCAGTTTATTACCAAGCTTGCTATGAAAGTTTGTTCTAAGTTACTGGCTTTGTCTTTGTTCTAATAACTGCCAGTTTTTTGCTTACTTAACGTTAGTTGTTTGTTGCCTTTTGGAAGAAGGTTCATTCATCAAAGATTCACTATTTGAGGAGTTTTTTTTTCTCTTGATATCATATATGCAAACAGGAAAGCAGATAAAAAGTTCAGGGTATTTATTAAAAGAAAAGGTTGATCTCCTTTGTTGTGTGTATGTGTGTGTGTGTGTGTGTGTGTTTGGCCTTGTGACTCATATTCTGTATTTCCAAACCAGAATGACTAGTTTGGGTAAGGAAATGTATCTGCAACTAACAAGGAAACCTCTCTTGACACAAGTCAGGCTCCCTGCCTTACCAAAATTAATCAATGTATTCTAAAAATGGGGAAACAATTACTAAAAAGCACTAGTATCATTTTTATTTATAAGATTTATAGAGCTATTTCACATCCACTTTTTGAATAGTAAAAATGGTGGCTGACAGTAGCCTGGTTTTGAAGGATGCTTACCTATTTAGAAAAAAAAATGCAAAAGTGGATGTATTAACATTCTAGAAATTTTAAAGGGGATGGCAGAAGCAATTCTCTGTGGATATATGCAACTTGCTTTAAAAAACCCAAACATGTCGCAAGATTCCTTTGCTTATTGTGGAAATAAGAGCGAGCTACAGGTGATCCTCAGTGCTTCAGGATCTTGGAGAAATTTTGCATTTTCCAGAATGGTAAGAACATAAAGACAAATTACACTCAATTATCACACTAGTATACATTCAATTCATACAATAAAAGTAGAAGGAAGAGACGGCCCTCAGTGGTAGCAGGTGTCAGCAGTAAATCTAATCTCTCCAAATATGTTAAATGCTTTCTCAGGAATTGGTTGCTCAACAGAAAGCTACACAGACATAACTTAGCTGGATTCTTTTCTTTACAGCAGGAAACAATATAGTTGTATACACAAAGATTTGCCCACTACAGGTTTCGTATGGGTCACTGCTCCAAGGTTTAAATTATAGAGCTTTTCCAACCCATGTTTCCCAGTCAGATTCTCTTGATGGTTTTGGAAAGGTTGGTTGTTTTCCTTAATGAAATCCATAAACTTTATTCCTGTACATTCCTAATTTTTAATCAAATTCTGGCAAGTTTTTAAAAAAACCAAGAGTTTAATGTTGCGTTTGCTCTCAGATAATCCTGACTATTGGTAGTATCATTTCAGAATGAAGTTGGGACACAAGTATATGGAAATTTTTTAAAAAAGCTTTTCTGAATACAGGGAATCCTCAACTTACAACAGTTTATTTAATGACTGTTCAAAGTTACAACGGCTTTGAAAAAAGTGACTTTTGACCATTTTTCACAATTTTTCACAGCTGCATTATCCCCACAGTCAGGTGAATTACAGCCGGATGCTTGACAACTGGTTCATATTTCTGACGGTTGCAGCGTCCAGGGGTCATGTGATCATCTTTTGCGACCTTCTGACAAGCAAAGTCAATGGGCAAGCCATATTCACTTAACAATGGTGTTACTAATTTAACAAGTGCGGTGATTCACTTAACAAAAGTGGCAAGAAAAGTCTTAAAATGTGGGGGAAACCCACTTAACAAATTTATCACTTAGCAACATAAATTCTGGGCTTCATTGTGATCATAAATTGAGGATTACCTGTATTCAGAACAAGTACATTAGGAAGCTTAGGCTGAACCAGGCACAGCTTTTACAATGTTGTTTCTGTAAATTCCTGACTGACAGCAATCTGCTTTGATAGGAGGGCACCCAGCAGATATTTAGAAGCAGAAACCCAGCTGCTTTGGGGCTAAACCCTAATACTGAAAACACAACATCTGGCCATCTGGCCTTGTTAAATCCTGTATTTCTCCTGCATCCATAACCATATGTTACTACTAACACAGTTTCAGCATCATTTTCTGTCAATGAATCATTTCTTTTCAGGGATTAGAAAAGTTAATAATTAGCTTGTAGAGCCTGCCACTCGTGTGTCTGTAAAACCATGCTGATTCATTAACAGCTTTCCTTGGGACAGGTAATAGTTGTGCAGTCCTAAGAGTAAGAGATGTTTACTAGCCTTTCTCAAGGCAAGACTCTCCCAAAACTAGCTACCCACGGATAAAAATGAATGTAAGCATGTCTTTTAGATTAAGGGTTATTGTAATTTCAGCCAACGTAATTAACATAATGGACTGGGAAACACTTACTGGAAAGCCATCTGCAGGCACTTCGATTTCATCATGTGAGGTCAAACAACCTATGGTGAAAGACACAAACATACAATTTTAACCTGCTTTTATTTGTTTTCCAGAGTTTCTCACTAAGCATAGTACAACGATGTTATAAAGAACAATATTTATATCATCACAATACAGAATACAATAAAACACATGATGTGAGGAAACACTTTAGACAGTGACCTATTTTGTTCCCATATCCCTTTCCTGCTAGAAAACAGGAATACATCTATTTTAATACACTGATTTTGAATGGTGATTGCTCTGTTCCCAGAAGTCCCAATTTGAGGCCAAGGGACAGTACGCACATTACAAAGTTTGAAACAAGGACCAAAACAGATCAGATGCTTACAAACTCGTAAGCAAACTGGTATGTTTACAAACTGGTTCTCATGTAGAATATGGACATTGCTCTATTTGGAAGAAGGGGCTGGTGAGAACTAAGTACTTTTGAAGTGAAGTAAAGCTTTGGCGACTACAGAAAGTTGCAAAGCTTTTTTTCTTTTCCAAATAAGATCTGGATTTTATTACCGTTAAACACAGTGCTCTTTTTTTATTAAAGACTTAAGTTAGCATTTTCTTTTGCATATGTATGCATATACACTGCTCAAAAAAAATGAAGGGAACACAAAAATAAGACATCCTAAATCTGAATGAATGAAATATTCTTATTAAATACTTTGTTCATTACATAGTTGAATGTGCTGGCAACAAAATCACACAAAAATTATCAGTGGAAATCAAATTTAGCAACCCATGGAGGTCTGGATTTGGAGTTACACTCAAAATTAAAGTGGAAAAAAATACTACAGGCTGATCCAACTTTGATGTAATGTCCTTAAGTCAAAATGAGGCTCAGTAGTGTGTGTGGCCTCCACGTGCCTGTATGACCTCCCTACAACGCCTGGGCATGCTCCTGATGAGGTGGCGGATGGTCTCCTGAGGATCTCCTCCCACACCTGGACTAAAGCATCCCCCAACTCCTGAACAGTCTGTGGTGCAACATGGCGTTGGTGGATGGAGCGAGACATGATGTCCCAGATATGCTCAATTGGATTCAGGTCTGGGGAACGGGCGAGCCAGTTCATAGCATCAATGCCTTCATCTTGCAGGAACTGCTGACACACTCCAGCCACATGAGGTCTAGCCTTGTCGTGCATTAGGAGGAACCCAGGGCCAACTGCATCAGCATATGGTCTCACAAAGGGTCTGAGGATCTCATCTCGGTACCTAATGGCAGTCAGGCTACCTCTGGAGAGCACATGGAGAGCTGTGCGGCCCCCTAAAGAAATGCCACCACACACCGTTACTGACCCACTGCCAAACTGGTCATGCTGGAGGATGTTGCTGGCAGCAGAACGTTCTCCATGGCATCTCCAGACCCTGTCACGTCTGTCACATCTGCTCAGTGTGAACCTGCTTTCATCTGTGAAGAGCACAGGGCGCCAGTGGCAAATTTGCCAATCTTGGTGTTCTCTGGCAAATGCCAAACATCCTGTACTATGTTGGGCTGTAAGCACAACCCCCACCTGTAGATGTCGGGCCCTCATACCAGTGTCATGGAGTCTGTTTCTGACCATTTGAGCAGCCACATACACATTTGTGGCCCGCTGGAGGTCATTTTGCAGGGCTCTGGCATTGCTCCTCCTGTCCCTCCTTGCACAAAGGCGGAGGTAGCGGTCCTGATGCTGGGTTGTTGCCGGCCTCCTCCACATCTCCTAATGTACTGGCTTGTCTCCTGGTAACGCCCCCATGCTCTGGACACTATGCTGATAGACACAGCAAACCTTCTTGCCACAGCTCGCATTGATGTGCCATCCTGGATGAGCTGCACTACCTGAGCCACTTGTGTGGGTTGCAGACTCCATCTCATGCTACCACTAGAGTGAAAGCACCACCACCATTCAAAAGTGACCAAACCATCATCCAGAAAGCATAGAAACTGAGAAGTGGTCTATGGTCACCACCTGCAGAACCACTCCTTTATTGGGGATGTCTTGCTAACTGCCTATGCTTTCCACCTGTTATCTATTCCATTTGCACAATAGCATGTGAAATTGATTGTCAATCAGTGTTGCTACCTAAGTGGACAGTTTGATTTCACAGAAGTGTGATTGATTTGGAGTTACATTGTTTAAGTGTTCCCTTTATTTTTTTGAGCAGTGTATATCAGTGATACATTTTGGCTTTCATTCTTTAAAAGTGGCAGTAAATGGGTTAGTCAGAGCAGATGAAATGAACAACTAAAAAGAAAAAAGGGAGGTGTAAGCTTTTTAAACAAAACAATCCCTGAATAATGCATACCTTGAGATATATCTTCAACAGCCCTACGAATTCCTCTATCAAATGCTCTTGCATCAGCGGGACTTTGAAATGTGAGGCCAAATTTTTTTTCATCAATCTTCCAGTGGTGGAAAGTTGGCGTAACCTTATTGTAAATAAGCTCCTTCTTTAACATACACTCCAAAACCACCTGAAAAGAAACCAAGTTAAAAGAGGAGGTTACTATAAAGGACTTGTCTGTGTTTGTATATTTAAACAATTTTTGTATTATCAAACCTTTTCTCAAAAATAAAAATAAAAATGAAACAAGTCACAGCATAAAGGACCTAATTACTAAACGATACAATGTAAATATAACCAAAGCTGTAAAAGCTAGCCCCAAGTACCCATCAGTTTAATAACCTATTCCACATATCCCAAAAATTAATTAATGTGAAATCAAAAGCAGAAACAGAAACATTTACACAAATAAAAAGGAAGCTGTATAAATGGCAACCATTGTCAAGATATCCCTGGTTTTTCATCCCTGCCAGCAAGTTTGGCTATACCTGAACAGAAGCAAAACTGTCTTTAAAGTGAACTGATTCTGGACTATTCAGATATGTAATAAACAAGTAACTAAATAGTATTTGAAAGTGACAGCTTTCACAAGTGATACAATATTGGAATAGATTGCTTGATATGCCCATGTGATATCCCTGCGTTGCAAGCTGCACTGTGGCCAGTTTGACCCAAGAAGTCTGTTTGCATATTTATTTGTAACCTACTTTTATTATTTTTGCAAACAAACTCAAGGCAGCAAATATATCCAACACACCTTCCTCCTCTTATTTTCCGCCCTGTTTGGGTTTGGGTTGAGGGGGAGGGGAGAGAGGCGGGGAGAGAGGGGGGGAGAGAGACTGGCCCAAAGTCACTCAGCTGGCTTTCATGGCTCAGCTGGGACTAGAAGTCACGGTTTCCCTCCTTCTAGCCTGGTGCCCTAACTACTAGACCAAACTGGTTCTAGGCAACTGACTAATCTTGTGTTTCCGTTTGTGGCACCTGCCTTTTGGAATGAAATTCCTAATGATACGTGGGTGGCTTCCACCTGAATGGTGCCCTGCAGAGCTTTAAAGACCTGGTTCCTCTCCTAGACCTTTGGCTAAGGTGGTTTGAAGCCACTGCTAGGGATCTGATATGTTTTATGTATTGATTGGATCTGCCATTTGTTTACTGTTTTATGTAGATTGTTATTGTTACACTGTCTTGTACTATCAGACACCCAGATTCAGTCTGGAGTTGGGTGGTGGTCTAAACTGAATGAAATGAGTGAATGAATGAACCACAAACATTCTTCCCTGGCTGTCCAAACCTAATTTGGATGTGACTAGGATATCAGTAACTATGACTGACTATATTATAGTGGTTAAGAACCAGGATCAGAAAAAAATAGATTGTAATCTACTCTTAGCAACAGAAGTCTATTTGATGGCTTTGGGCCAGTCACTGTGGAAATATAGAAAAGGGAAAACTATATATGTCACCTTGAGCTCCTGAATTAAACGCAGAATAGAAATACAAGTAGTCCTCATCTTATGAACACTGATCTTATGAATCTCAATCATGGAGTGAACCAATAGTTAAACAACATGTCACATGATTGCTTTATTCAAAAACCACAACCTCAGCACTTCCATTGTATCTATTAAGCAAAATCCCAAGTATTAAGTGGGAAGAATGAAAGCTGCCTGCAGAAGGATTTCAGCTCCATCCTCCAGTAGTCAGCTCTTTAAGAATGAAAAGATTGTTGTAGGGGTTCAGACCATTGTAATTTCAGACTGTTGTTAAATGAATGATTGTAAGTCAAGGACTATCTGTAGCATAAATAATTCTAAATACATATCTGGTTGGCCTTTATTGAAAGAAAACCCTTGATTTGTTAGGGCTTTGCTGTCTAGTATCTCTGTTAATGTTCTTAGTGCTGTATATTAAAACGTTTTTCCCCTAAGAAAATAATTTCACAAAATCAGTATATGAACCTATTCTATTTATTTAAACAAATCCAGGTTTTCTTCTTCTTTTCTGTATCTATGCAAACAAATGGGGATTTCTTTATTATGGACTTGTGATGTAGTTGCTTTAAGGAGCTGTAGACAGATGTTATATTTATGCCCTTATACATAGTGAACACCATTTCAGAATCAAATCCAAACCATTTTACAGCCATTGTCAATTTCCATCAACTGACTTTTGTTTTATGACGTTCTGTTTCCAAACTGATTTTCTTTCCACAGAATGCTGTTACGTCCTCTTCAATTTTCGATTAAAAAAACCCACTCAAAATACGTGGATAGCATCCAGGACTAGCAATTATAGAAAAAAAATGTGATGTTTTTTTCAACAACAACCCTGATTAATCTATCCAACTTTTAGTTTCATTCATTGATATCCTCCCTTTCAAGAAGTAATACAAAGATTTCTTGCCTTAACCTATGTCACAGGATTAACCAGATTTTTCTGTTCAGTTCAATATTTCCAATCTTTTTTTTGTCTCTCTTTTTTCCTTCCTAAAACTGATTGTGCTAAATTTCCATAGTCATTGAACACTAAATTAGGGAAGAAGCATGATACCAAGCAATGACATTTTAAAAATTGTCTCTTTACTTCTTAAATTCCTATTCTGGAAGCCTTAATGGTACAAGTTTCAAAAGCCTTTTTCGTTGTCTGAATATGCTGTTCTGAATTGATTAAACAAAGGCAACAGAGAATAAGATATGCAACAGGCAACAAACCAACTCATTATAAAATTGGAAAGCAAAGTAAGTATCACTTTAAAAGCAATAGCATCTGACAATCTAAAATACTGAAACCTGCGTGCCTGCTTAATGCTTCATATAAAAGGAACTATCAGGCAATGTTTACATAGCTTAAAACAGCAGCAGACCTGTCCAGGTTAGAGTGGAAGGTAATTGTTCAAACTAGACTGGCTGGAGCCAGATCTCAGAAGGGAAGTATAATGAAGGAGGAAGTGTGCAATTATGTCAAGGGTGCTTTGTGCAGAAAGAGTGAAAAAAAAACTGCTTTACATTCCAACAGAGGTCTAAACAAGCTGGGTAAACAAGTCCAGAAATAGTCTCTGTCATTCCAAAGTGAAACTCATTTCCTCAGTGCTATCTCTTTTCAAGATACCAGGAAGATTGTTTGTCAAAAACATGTCAAGCAAGTATTCTCATTCATGAAAGTACACCTAGTATTTTGCCACAAGTACTCTCAATTAAAGCAAAATAACTCAAAAGATCTTACTTGCATAAGACTTCTCTAATCTTGTGCTTTCTAGATGTGATGGAGTCACACCCACAGAATTCTCTTCCCCTGTCTAAATTCCAATGCATTGCTCTTTTGAACTGGACCTCTTTCTTGCTACCCAACCCAAACAGACAGGCAGCAAGTATACATCAAAGCACATCCTAATGTATGTTTGTTTCAAGTTAAGTTCTATTCTTAATTTCAGGAGTGAATTGCTGCAAGAAAATGTTTAATAATGTAATGCCAAGTAGGTTTTAAAGGTTCAAAAATCAAGTGAAGTACAATCCCTCCTTTTTGCCTTCCTTTTAAATTCACTCCACTTTACTATCTGAGGTTTCAATTCATGATTTTGAGCATCTTGACTTAAACTCCTGAACCTAGTGGACCGGGATGGCCAGGAATGCTGAGATGGGAAGTTCAATGTATCTGGAGGGCTGGAAGTGACTGAGTCAACCAGTCAAAGAGGCTTTACAGGGCTGAAGAGTAGAAGTAAGATAAAATAAAGGTATGGAAACCGGTCCATCCACATTGAATGACAGGACAACTCCTAAAAAAACCAAAGGCAGGGGTACCTAATGAGTGTTTAAGTCTGACCTATAATTAGTGGTTTATGACAGCCTTCCCCCCATGACGAATCAGCTGTCTGCTGAATCTTTCTCCCATCTTTTCTTTCTCTCACTGGCTCTGGATATTAGTGCTAATCAGAATTTCCTCTGATTTTTTTTTGATAAAAGTTTTACTTTTACAACATAATACAAATAAAATATCTTTTTTGAGAGCAGCATGATTCCAGGTTATCATATCTCCATACATAATCTCAGTAACATATTCATCTTTGTATTCAATTTCGTATCTTGTCACTGTTTTATCAATTTCTCAATAATTTTTCCCTTCCCTTACTTTCCTCAACCTTATTTATGATTATCTCATTCCTTTCTAATTCAATTACGTATCTTTTTCTAAATTTCTATATCTTTCTAGTCATTATATTTGTACTTTTGTCTGTCCTGTTTACAATTTCATACGTTCTTTTTCCATCATCATCCCGAAAGGGAAAAGAAGAAAAAAAAAAAACAATTCCCTCTCCTTCCAGGCATTGAAAAGCAAAGTTTCCCCTATGATTACCAAGTAGAGTGTGTCACCTTTATTTATATCTTATAATTGTTATCCTTTCAAATCTCATTAAACATTTAATTTATACATTATACAATTGTAACATTCAATTTCTAATGTCTATTTTATATCATATAACTTCTATCAACCAAATTCCACTTGGTACTTTCCCTTAAAAATACACACAAGTTCTAAAAAAAGAAAAATTATATAACAATAATGAATAAAATGGTTATTCTATTCCAATTCATCCTGACAACTGATATTGATTTCATTATAAATCTTTTACATTTCTTTTCAATTGTATTTTATAAATCATTAAGAACAATTACAGTATTTTCATTCCTTCCTTTTAATCCCTCTTGTTTTACTTTTATTCCCTTTCTCTCTTTATTTCATTTAATTATTAGCAAACATTCCATTACATAACAATACCAATTTTTTCTTTCACTTAAATTACCTATGTTTCATATTTTCTAGCTCATTACTATTTCTAATATAACACTATCTCTTGTACCCTTGCAGAATCCTCTTTTTATATTTTTAACCATTATCTTTATGTCTTTTAAATAGGCTGATACCTTTAATTCTTGTACGTTTCCCCTCTTTATTTCCTGTTTCTGTCCCTTATAACTTCTTTTCCTTTTTATCTTTTTCTCATCACCCTTTTTGTCTCCCTCTCTCTCTGATACTCCCCTCTGTAATCCTATCTTCTGCTTCTTCCTAATGTTATATTTACTTTTCAGACTATTCTTTATTTTAGTTGTTTCCTCAGATCTTGAATTTTTAACTCCCTTTCTCCCCTTTTTCCATTTTACCCCACGTTGAATTGTTTGGTCATCAAAGATGGCTTCTTCTTTGTCCAGCCCTTCTTGTTCTTCAAGCATTTCTTGTTGTTTTTCATAGTTCATAATCTCCATTTCTAAGAATTGAAGTACAAAGCCAAAGGATCCTCCTCCCTCTTGCGACTCTTCTTTTATTCTCTTAAGGTTCCATTTTTAATTCGTCAAGGAGTACTGTCATTTTAAGCACTTTTAAACAACCTACCTGGTTAATTTTAATTCAAACCACTAAAAATCCAACACCCAAACTTCCAAAAATTACCAAATAATCCAAAACTGTTTCTTCTTGCTCCTTTTTTCCATTTTCCCTTTCCTGGGGCTCTGTTATCTTGTAACAAAGTTTCAGTTACAATATATCCTTTGGAAGTCTTGTTAAAATTTCACAGTTAATTCTTTTTATTTCCAGGTGGTACTCTCTGTTGTTTCGAAGTTCCACCCTTGCTTTTTCCCTCCACTTTCCTCCTTTTGAAGGCTTTAGAATATCCAGAAAGTCTTTATTTTCTCTGTGACACTTTAATTTCAGCTTAAAATTGCCTGTTAGTGTCAGAGTAAATTAACACAAATTTCTTACTGAAATCTCTTCTTTTTAGCATTCATTTGTTCCTTTTCCCTCTCTTCGCTGCCACTTTAAAAATCTTCTTTTGGTGAAATTAGAGAACAAGAAGATCAACAATTTTATGAAGTTTGGGATCTTTTTTATCAATGGTTAGATAATAAAACACAATAATAGAATATTTAGATTTAGGATATAATTTTTTTTGATATTATTTTTATAAAACCTTATTAAGATAGATTTGGTATGATCTTACAATTCGTTGCAAAATAAATTAAGTAAATTATAGTTATTTCATTAAAGTATGAATTAATAAAATTATAGTTAAATGATTTCTCAGTAATGATACTAGGTTATACAATTGTTGATTGATAATATGAGTTATTATGTAATATAACTATATTAGCGTTTAGGAAACGGATGCACACAAAAAAAGTGGTAAACCAACTGATACACTGTTTGTAAATTTATGAAGAAGGATGATGTTTTTATGTTTTATGTTGTATGTTTTATGTGGTTTTGTTTGTTGTTAAAATAAAAAACTTTAAAAAAAATCTTCTTTTGGGAACAACACTCTTAATAATTTTAGTTTCTTGCTCAGATGTTACCTCTGCTTAGCCTGGTCTGTCAAGCTCTCCCCTTTGTCTTCCCTCTTGCTTAATCTTGTCCCTTTGGGTTCCTCTTTGAGGTGGCCATTTCTGACCACTGGTGCAACTGCCTTTGGGAAAGGGAGTAATGACCAGCCAAGGAGGAGATGCAGCTCCCCTCGACTCAGCTGGCAGTCTCCCCTCTCTTTGCCACCTCTAAGGGGTGGCTTCAGCCCCGAATCCAAAGGATCAGGGCGCTCCAGCAGCGAGCATGGATCGAAACTGCGCACGATCTCAGATTTTCTCAGATGGTCTGTCGCTGAAGAAGCCCAAACTGAAAGTCAGAATTTCCTCTGATTGTTGTATTACCTTGTGATTCTGTACATATATACACAAGAACACATTGCAAAAGGAATAGCAGCAATGACAAAATAATGGCCTTACTGGGAAGCAAGATTTTTTGCTAGCTCCATCTTAATTACTGTTTCAAAGCAGCTTTTACAAAACTTTTCTTATAATAGTGTACTGTTGACATACTACACTGAAAGAAAAAAGTTGTACTTGTTAAAAATGGTGAGAAATCATAAAAAGTACATTCTAGCTGCTCAGAACCTTTGAGTCCATGCCAAATATATACATGGTAATATATTTTCAGATAGGAGAATGATTATTGTTGCCGTCTTGTTCTCCATTCGTACATTTTTAATGATGGATAAAGACACACCTTACACAGAAGTACCATAGATAGTGACTTTCCAATTCTATCACTTTTTCCTTCCTCTACAACTAGCCAACAGTGGCCACATCATTTGGAAAACAGCAAATGTCTGTTGATTTCCTGAACTGTATACTCAGTTCTAGGTACAGAAGAAGTAACAAACAGCTCCTCTTCACTGAAAGCAAACAAACTGCTTCACCAAATCTTTCCTTCCTTTCTTCTCCTATGGTTTGCTCTCTGGTAGTGGCTTCCCTTCTTTTTGTTCTCTGCTTTTTCTGACTTGATAGCTAAGGTAATATCTTTTCAAAGAAAAATATTTGAAATCCAGATTTCCTTTTTTCTTCAGGTAATAAAAGGGTCAATAAAAGATGGCAGCAGCAGTGCCATTTGTTGACTATATTGAAACAATGGTACTAAAGGGATTGCTTAGTTGGAAAGCCAGGAGTACAATGTGGTAAAGTTTAAGACAGAAGATGAAAAGAAGAAGAAGCACAATAAGCAAAGTCATCAATTTCAATGTGTGTGTGTGTACTAAGTGGGATTATATTACTATATATAACTGGACAATGCACTGAAACTCCTTCTCTCATCCATATTAAATATTCTTCATGATTTAGCTTATTCGAAGCAATTATTTCACTATTCCCATGCAAAACTTTACCAACATTACTTAACTCGAACAATTTGCTTCAGGTTCTAAAATGACACTTTTGAAGATATTCAGGTATAAATTCTTAACAACTTTTTGCTGGTGGCAACATTATGCAAAACTGTAAGGGGCAACCATGGAACAGGTTTCTTACAATGTAAGAAACTCTAACTAACCCTTGGATTGAAAGTTGTTACAAAAGGGCAGAAAAGTAGGCATCAAAAAATGTGCAATATAAGAAAAGGACCCGGATCTAAATTTGCAACCCCACTCTCTATCAATAGCTTTATATATCCTTAAAAACCAACCATGCTTCACCACATCTACAGGCCACTTCATACATACATGATTTTAAAAATCAGCATGCATTTAAATAGCAAATCAGATATTTAACACTAATGATTATGACTAAATCTTTATATATTCAAAGACTATATTATTTACCTGCTGCTCTGTTGAGAATAAGAATAAAGCAATTTCACAAGCTCTACATTTAATTTAAATGGCAAAACAGTACTCGGGGGCAGATATTACATGGATTACTATGCGCCAGTCTGATGGTTTCCCAGTTATGTGGGAGCTGCCTTTCTCTGAGTGCCTCTTCTGAGTGGCTATAGGTAACATTTAAAGAAAGTAATCCATCTAGGGAGTTTCCAAATGCCAATTCCAGATCTTGGTCTCTAACCTTCTGGCTGAGTTGAAACCCTAATCTTATGTAAATGTAACTTTCATCAAGCTAGTGCTTGATGTTTAAAGAGCTCTTTATTTATCAGCAATTCAGTGAAGTTATATCCAGCTGCACCTATAAGCATGATAATGTGCAAGAAATGGATATCTGAATTATACTAATGAACAATTCTATTCCAAACAGGAAACTAATAACCCATTTAGTTTGCTGATTTCCTGCAATTTATCATTTCATTTTTCTGGCAAAAGTCTATTTTAACTGGGGGGAAAAAGATTTTTGTTAGTTGCAAAAGGATATGTATGGCAAAATAAAGGGATAAGGTCAGGAGTGAATGAGTTTGAATGAATGTAGATTAAATACAAAAGTAACTAGTATGAAAGAAGACATTGAGATATTTTGGTCAGACAGAGAGCATTAAGCACATTACAAAGTCAATCTATGAAGGAAAAATAAAGAGAAAAAGAAACAGATCCTCAAAAAGAGACATGAAATTTAAAAAGCTAAAGGCAATGTATGAATTAGATTTTATCTTATTTGAGTTCTGCTTCCAATTAATTTGCTTACTATTTCTTACACTTTTTCTATGATTTGTATAGTGATTCTTATCTTGAAATGGATTAATTTAAAACAGTGTTTTTCAAACTTGGCAACTTTAAGATGTATGGACCTCAACTCCCAAACTTCCCCAGCCAACATGGGAGACCACGGTCTTAACATTTAACACTGCAGTAAATTTAACAGTACCAACAATACATCTCTTTCAAATTTTGCAATTCTTATTGTGATAATTATTACAAATCACTTTAAACAATTTTTAGGTGTCTCTAATGCAAGAAATAGGAATATTCAATGGCTTTTTCAAGTAACCATTTTTAATTGCAACCAACAGTATTTTCCAAATGACCAGAACATTTTATGAACTTTGAAATTTAAAACCATTTACTAAAATGTATTTAGGTGTGTATATAAATGTGCACATATGTCTGTGTGAGTGCGCATGTGCACACACACACAAACTCACAAAGAGAAAAGAGTAGGGGAACAAACACACAAGTATAAACAATAGGGTGTTGCAAGCTGTTTCTTATGGAGTTACTTCCCTTTGACTTACAATTAATATCACAAAACAGACATAATAATTATTTTTACCGTTTTATCCCTGAGACGCTCCCCATGTATAAGAAAATCAGCACAGCCACTTTCTTCTTGGTGAATGACTTTGAAAATGGTGACGCAGCTTAGTCCACCCCCTGCAAGTGGTAACCATCCACCACTTGAGTCATCACGGGTCATCACCACAGCTCGCACACGGGCATAACTATTACTGAAACAGATTAAGGATAAAGAAAAATAAGTTTTCTATTTTGGGAATGAATATGATTAAATTAAGTCAGTGCAATAGCCACGTTAAATTATACAAGCCATCTAGTTAATCATACAGTTTTCAAAAACATTTGATATCCCATGATTGTCAGCAGCATTGGGAATCTATTTGGTAATCTGAACTGATTACTGAAGAGCTGTGGTGGCACAGTGGTTAGAATACAGTATTGTAGGCTAATTCTGCTGACTGCCAGCACTTCGATCTGTCAGACGGGCTCATGGCTGACTCAGTCTTCCAGCCTTCCAAGATCTATAAAATGAGGCCCAGATTGTTGAGGGCAATATGCTGACTCTGTTTTCCAATGTTTCTTATATGAAAATGGATCCAAGATAGACACTTTACTGCCCAAGCAAGATCAAATCACTCTTAATAAATCTTCTCTCCCCAAATTTACTAGACCACATTAGATGTGATAGTCTTGCATCAGCATGTGTAGCATGGCAATATTGGTCAGGGCTGGTAACCAGGGCAACACATTATTTGATGCAGTTCTGTTTATATTCAGTGGTACATTCTCTAATTTGGTGAGAAAGGAGTGGATACAGATTGGATCATAATAACTTGCCACAAGAAAGCATCAACTAAGTAGGAGATAATCACAATGTTTGCTCACTTGATTCCTGCAAAAAGTCACTTAACTGCCAGTAAATGCATACTTAATTTTATCATCACTGCCTTTTTGGGATATGATGATGGAAAGTCAGCATCCAGTAGAAATTAAACAATAACAGGATTAATGTTGTATTCGTCCTTTTCCACCCTGATATTTAAGTTGAAGCTTTTTGGAGGAAGAGTTAAAAGATTATGAAAGGGACATTTAAAGCACCCCAATGTAATCTAATTATAAAGTACAGGGCATAAAGAACAGTTTTAAATTTCCTGTTTATCAGATGGGAAACAAAACTTTTAAAAAAGGACACTGATACATTTATTTAAAAGAAAACAGTTAATATGCTTTTAGATAGTCTTTGGTACTAAAATGCCAAAAGATCAGGTAAGGGAACAAATTTATTAGATTTCAAGATGGAAGGCACAAGTACATAAGAGCATACCATTTTAATGAAGAATAAAATTAACACTATTCTTCTTTACTGTATTTGTACCAATCAGATTTATCTTTTCTTTAAGAACTTCACTGCACTGTTACTATGGATCCAATATAATAAAAAATAATACAATGTGGTAAACATATTAGAACAACAAATGCCTTACTATCAATAATACAACCAGAATCCAATTATTACCCACTCAAACATTCTGGAAGAGTCCCATATAGTGTTTATTAGTACTTTTGGTAGATTAAAAGACTGGATTTAGCCAAGAACATCTACACAATTCCCATTACTAAAATCAGTGGGAAAGCCAGCAGGAACTTGCAAATTCATCAGAGGAACATATTCAAGATTACTTTAATGGAAAAGGACACTCAAAATTTATTTACAAGCAATTTCAAGTACTTACATATGCATTCTTTTGTCTGAAAAATGTTACACTTCAGATCATTTTTCAATGGATCCCAAAGCTTTTGCTTTTATTTCCAACCCAAATTATGAAAAAGCAACGCCACCTATACTGCAAATGTGTGAAAGCTCACCCACTCTTTGTATTGAAAAAGCAAAAAAATATGTGGATAATTCTCCTTAACGTAAACAAATTTATGTTCTATCTGTTGTCAATGCATTTCAGAACAATATCTTGGGATGTGACAAGGAATTCTGAAATGTTTAATAACAGGTAATCTTATAGCCTAGTTAGAATTCTGCACAATCAGAGATCTCTGTCTATTAAGTCTATAAACTGAATATCCTGTTTATGGGCATATGAAAATATGAAATGGGAACAGTTTATTCATTTTTTGTCTGTTAGTATTAAATGAAGCTCTATTCCATTCTCCTGTGAACAAATGTAGAAAGAAAAATACCAGTACCATGTCCAATTTCCCCTCACATTTAGGGATACAGGACAACTATGAAATCTCCAGTCTGACTATGCCCTTCAATCAGCTTCTTTAAATGTCACTTTTTTGATATGGAAAAGCCATCATTTCCTTGCTTCCTCCCCCACCCAACAGCCACCATTTAACTGCCTGCTGGCCTTGGACTTATAATTTCCTGCTGGCTTCCCCACGGACTTTCTCCTTGCACAAGCTTCCCACAAGCAAAATAAATGGGAAAGCTGGCTAGAATTCAAAGGAGGGGAGGGAGAGAGGAAGATGTCCAATGTCACTTGCCAGCTTCCCACAATCAAAATCAATGAGGAAGCCTGCTGGTAGTCGGAAGTCGCTCCCACTTCCATTACTTGACCCATAATCATTCTGTTTCTGTTTAGGTAAGGAACTATCTCTGAGATGACGACCCAACAGGACATCGGATGTCTAATAAATATATGTATTTGTTGACAGAACAGTAATTGTCAGTAGAACAAATTTCCTTTTCTCCCTGCATCCCCATAGGATTCCTAAGGGTAAATTTCATGCTACAGTGATTTACGGGAGAGGACAGCAATTGCATAACAAATTCAAACATACAGCCTAACTTTCATCAACTACACTTAAATGTGCAAAACCACAAAAATAAAGATAAATGTACACACGTTCATTACCACACTGAAATGCAACCATGTAAGGAGAGACGCTAGTGCAATAAATCAATAGGGATCCAATAATATTGAGTTCAAAGCAGAAAACTGCCTTGGGTCTTGTGTGTTACGCCCACTGTATCTATTAATGGCTCCTTAAAGAAGATGTGCCTTTTCTGGATACATATGGTAGCTGTGCAGCACCCGGTTCTCTTTTGTCATATTCTTACTATATGCTAAATAAAACATAAAGTCCCCAGAAAATTTGTGCCTGGATGTTGCTGCCTTGTCACCATAACTTTAATTCAATCCTGTGGGATACCACAGTTTGTATGTGAGCCCAGGAAATGGCACAACTGATTTAAGGAGTTGCTGATAGGGACAGCAAGCATGCCTACTATATTCAAGTAACTTTTTATTTAAAAAATAATAATTTACTTTAAAAAAGCAACTATGTCAATTATGCATTTAGTAATTATTTCCCATTGTCATATTAACATTTAACGTACAAAGCTTCATTAAGTAACGAAGTATATTTTCTTCACATTTGGACAAAACACCAGATAAATGTTAATACAGTGTAACTTCATACTGTACTTTGTATGTGTTTCTATCAAATCAGACCCAGAGGTGATATTCATCAGGTTCTGATTAGTTCTGGATAGTGGAAATTTTGAGTAGTTCGGAGGACTGGCAAATTCTACCTCTGACTGGCCCTGCCCCCATCTATTCTCTGCCTCCCAAGTCCCAGCTGATCAGCTGGGTCTTCTTTTGTTGCCCTACACAAGAGAACAGAGCTGGAAAGCAGGTTAATGGGGTGGGGAGGGAATGGGATTTTGCAGTATCCTTCCCCTGCCATGCCTACCAAGCCATGCCCACAGAACCAGTAGTAAAAATTTTTGAATCCCACCACTGACCAGACCTAAGAGTAACAATCCAAAAGAACAAAAACATGAACCACAGACCAAAAACACTGAAGAGAGAGTGTATTTTTTTTTTGCTATTTAAATATTGCTAATTAGACCATAATGCAGAATTAAGTTAATCTTCAAGTTGGGTGGGGAAAAAATAAATAAAACAAAAGTAACTTATAATCAGTATTTTAGGATATCCAGGTTTGGAGAGAGACTATGAAGGGAGAGGTTAAAAGAAATGACAAACACATTCATTCAGTTGCTTCACTGAGTTGTAAACAAAATTCAAATCTGTACTAATGTTTTGAATGCAATGTGTTCCTGGCAAGAATTCTTCTTGACTTAGTTGTCAACGAAGAAAGCATTTTCTTTTAGTTTGCTACTGTACAAGCTATTCAAAATTGGGAAACAGATTTTAAAGGCCATGTACAAAATGGTGTCAAAGTATGGAAGGCTTATACTGAAACTTGTATGAAGATTCAGTGGTTCATAGTCAGCCATTTTTAATACAATGATAACCTATATTCTCCTTTGGAGAAATATCAAAACATCAAGGGTGAACATAGAGCTTACATTTTAAAAGAGCAGGAATCTGCTAGGACAATGCTGCTTCTTCCCTCTATGGAGGAGGATTGAGAACAGATCTTATGTTTCCTTCCCTTCTCATTCCCACCCTGAATGCTTAATGATTGCTGAGAGGTTCAGAACTGGTTTTAAAGTAAAGCTCCTGGAACAATCAGGATAAGGGGTTCTCTATTGCACTCGCCAAGAATGACCCCATATACAAATAAATGCAAATTCAACCCTGAGAGACAAGGACAGTATCCATTTTGATGAATTACAGGAAAGAAATCTTGGAAGCTGGCCTTGCTATTTGTTAATTTGCCTTGTAAAGTTTTCAGTTCACTGTCCATACACAATATCTGCAAAATGCAAGGTAGCTTTTTTGTCCCTTTGGTCACATCATGATTCTCCTAAAGGGAACAAAAAGACCAAACAAAGAAACAGGTTGAATACATGCACATGCATACTTATACACCCTCTTCTGGTGGGAGTATGCAATTTATGCAAAGGGGGGGGTATATAAAAAGTTTCTATGTAACAGGTATGTGCCTGTGGTATATGCACAGCTTCTCACATTTTTTTCCTTGTAAAGCTGGAAGCAGAAATACATTGGAATTTAGATTTTCTTTAGCAGATTTATGGCTTGCCTTAGTGTGCAAACCAGAAATTGTGCTCTAAAATAAACTCTAGTCCTTGGGTCCCCTAACCTTTTTGATTCCAGGACTGGCAGTGGGGGAGGGGTTGGGTTCGTGTGCACAACCTAGATCCCTTACATGCTCAAATGAAGCTTTGTGTGCCTGCCACCTTAACAAGCCTGGTTAATAAGCCGTGCTGGTACCGATCTGCAGCCTGGGGGCTGGGAACCCCTGCTCTTGTCAATTTCCA